GCGTGTGTGTGTGTGCACAAACACATATGCAGAGATGTGTGTGTATTTGAAACACACAAACAAAACACCCCCACTCATACACGCCCGCACACTCTCATACACTCTCTCATACGCACGGCCTTACATGCGCATGAGAGAGTGTATGAGGAGGAGCTCTTCGCCACAGCCAAGAGCCGAGAGGCGCCGGGCTTGTTCGGAGCCGCCCTCCGGAAGGGTCATTCGCTCAGTTTGCCAAGCGACCTTTGACCTCGATCGCCCAGCCGTGGCGCCTGAGGAGTGCGAAGGAGAGACACAATATATATATATTTCAGGGAACACGATCTCTCCCCTACGAATACCTGCTGTCGAGGGCTTCCGTGGACTGCCATGCTCACCAGATCATTCACATAACACACAATAATGGCAGTAACCTATTAATTATTCCGTGTATCCCATTTCTTGATGACAAACGCTGTATGTTTTAAATGACGTTCTATGTGTGTGTGTGGTGTGTGTGTGTGTGTGTGTGTGTGTGGTGTGTGTGTTTGTTGTTTAGCTAGGAATTAGGTGCCCGTATAGCCTGAGTTGGCGGTTATGGATTATGCAAGTAACAGGTCCATGCCAGTCTCACGGTGAAGTCGTCGGTTGGACATACGGTCCTGCCAACTGTACCCCATGATCCGGCGCAGTGACGTCATAAAAGGCATCGAGACGCGACTCCAAGGCAATAGATAGCGTCCAGGTTTCACTTCCATTGAGCAAAACTGACAGTACCAAGGCCTTGAAGACATGTAATTTAGTCCTTCTGTATAAGTACCGCCACCTCCAAATATTCTTGTTGACTGAGTTCATGGCTCCTGCTGCCAGACCAATCCGTCTATTGACTTCCTGGTCTGACATCCCAGAGACCTAAACTGCACTCCCAACGCATGTAAAGTTCTCTGTGACTTCAAAGTCCTCGCCGCGAGCATGCCTCGACTGAACAGGTTCCCTTAACAGGCCCCCAAAAATCTGAATCTTGGTCATGGTCCAGGAGACCTCTAAGCCTCGGAGCGTCGCCTCATCGCTGAATGAACCAAGAGCCGCCACCAGAGACTCCAGAGACTCCAAAGACCCTCAACAGGTCCGAGGGAATTGGACCCGGACTGCCAGGTGGAAGCCAGGACAGTAGGCGAGCCCCGTGCCATAGGTTCTCCCCAGCGTTTAGTAATTCAGCAGACTGCATATGCCCGCAGCCTTCCCGCTCTTCAGCTTGGAGATCGCCTCCCTGACCTCACTCACCACTAGCGCCCAGACTGACTGCTGGAGGACCTACCTGATACACTTGCTCAAAATACTAGGCCCAGCGTTCACGAACCCCAAATACACGGTATAGTATATGTGTCTGTATACACACACTCTCTACCCTTCTCTCCCCCTCCTTTTTCCTCTCCTCTCCCGTCCTCTTTCCCTCTCGCTCACTCCTTCCCCTTCTCCTCCTCTTCCCCTCTCTCCTCCCTCCTTTCCCCTCTCTCTCCTCCTTCCCTCTCTCTCCCTCCTTGCCCTCTCTTCCTCCCTCTCTTCCTCCTCTCTCTCTTTCTCCTTCCCTTCTTCCCCTTCCTCCTGACCCACCTCTCCTTATTCCGCGACAAGCCGAGGGGCAAATTACAAGGGAATTCTAAGAGCTGGATACCCTCAAGGAAAGGGGGAGGGGGCGAAGGGAGGGAGGGAGGGGGCGAGGGGAGAGGGGGAGAGGGGGGAGGGGGACAAGGGAGGGAGGGAGAGGGGCGGAATGCAAATTATCCATTCTCTGTTGCAAAGGGGGGGGGGCGAAAGGTTTGAGGGAGGTGGGGTGAGGAAAGTGTGTGAGAGAGGGGGGTGAGGGAGAGGAGAGAGAGAGGGGGAGTGAGGGAAAGGAGAGAATGAGAGAGATAAAGAGAGAGGGAGAGAGAGAGAGACGGAGGAGAACAGACAGAGAAAGAGGGGAGGGGAGAGAGGAGAGAGAGAGAGGAGAGGCAGAAGAGAGAAAGAGAGAGAGGAGAAGCAGAAAAGAGAGAGAGAGAAGAGAAAATAAAAGACGAAAGAAAAAGAGAGTAGAAGCGAGAGAAAAACGAGAAAAGAGAAAAATGAAAGAAAGAGAGATGACGGAGGAGAGAGAGAGAGAGAATAGAACCCCCATTTTTTTTTTCTTTTCTTTTCTCTTAATCTTTAGAAACTGCAGCATTATCCTCGCAATGTTTAAGATGTGAGATACAGCGCCATCATCTCTGCTCGCAGCTGCTGTGCGGCCGCGATAAAAGGAGGTTTTACAGCTGCTGTTTTGCTTCCTCAGGGAGATAGTTTGAGGTTAAGGAACGAACGACGGAAAAAATAAGAGAAAAATGGAGATGGTGGGACGGGAAGGAGAGGGAGACAGGAGAGAGGAGAAGAAGGAGGGAGGAGGAGAGGAGAAGGGGAGGTGAGAGGAGGAGAAGGTGAAGGGAGGAGGAGAGGGAGAGGGAGAGAGATGAGAAGGAGAGGGAGAGAGGAGAGAGGAGAAGAAGGGGAGGAGGAGAAGAGAGGGAGAGAGGAGAGAGAAGGGGAGAAGGAGAGGAGAGAGGAGAAGAAGGGGAGGAGGAGAGAGGAGAGGGAGGAGGGGAGAAGAAGGGGAGAGGAGAAGAGGGAGGAGGAGAGGGAGAGGGAGAAGGGGAGAAGGGAGAGGAGGAGAGAGAGGAGAAGGGGAGAGGGAGAGAGGAGAAGGGGAGAGGGAGAGAGGAGAAGGGGAGGTGAGAGGGGAGAGAGAAGAAGGGGAGGAGGAGAGGGAGAGAGGGAGACAGGAGAAGGGAAGGAGGAGAGGAGAGGAGGAGAGAAGAAGGGGAGGAGGAGAGGGAGAGAGAGGAGAAGAAGGGGAGGGAGGAGAGGGAGAGGGAGAGAGGAGAAGAAGGGAGGAGGAGAGGGAGAGGAGAAGAGGGGAGGAGGAGAAGGAGAGAGGAGAAGAAGGGAGGGAGAGGGAGAGGGAGAAGAGGAGAGGAGAGGGAAGGAGAGAGGGAGAGGGAGAGAGGAGAAGAAGGGGAGGAGGAGAGGAGAGGGAGAGAGAAAGAAGGGGAGGAGGAGAGGTAGAGAGGAGAAGAATGGGAAGGAGGGAGAGGGAGAGGGAGAGAGGAGAAGGAAGGGGAGGAGAGGAGGTGCATGAGAGGAGAGAGAAGGGGAGAGGGCAGGAGGAGAGAGGAAAGGAAGGGGAGAGGAGAGGGAGAGGGAGAAGAGGAGGAAGAAAGGGAGAGGAGAGGGAGAGAGAGAGGGAGGGGAGGAGAAGGTGAGAGGAGAGGGAGAGGAGAGAGGAGGAGAGGGAGAGGGAGAGAGGTGAAGAGAAAGAGGGAGGAGAGGAGAGGGAGAGAGAAGAAGAGAAAGAGGGGAGAGGGGAGAGAAGGGAAAGAAGGGGAGGAGGAAGAGGGAGAGGAGAGAGGAGAAGAAGGGGCAAGGAGGAGAGGGAGAGAGGAGAAGAAGGGAGAGGAGAGGGAGAGAGGAAAAGAAGGTGAGGAGGGAGAAGAGAGAGGAGAAGGAGGAGAGAGGGAGAGAGGAGAAGGAGGAGAGGGAAGAGGAGAGAGGGGGAGAAGAGAGAAGAAAAAAAAGGAGGAGAGGGAGAGAAGGAGAAGGGAGGTGAGAGGGAGAGGGAGAGGAGGAGAAGAAGGGGAGGACGGAGAGGGAGGAGGAGAAGGGGAGAGAAGAAGGTGAGGAGGAGAGGGGAGATAGAGAAGGGGAGTGGAGGAGAGGGAGAGAGAGAAGAAGGGAAGAGAAGAAAGGGAGGAGAGAAGGGGAGAGAAGAAGGTGAGGAGGAGAGGGAGAGGGAGAGGGAGAGAGGAGAAGGTGAGGAGGAGAGGGAGAGGGAGAGACGAGAAGAAAGTGAGGAGGAGAGGGAGAGGAGAGAGGGAAGAAGTGGGAGGAGGAGGGATTAGAGAATCAGAAAGAGGGAGAAGAAAGGAGGAAAACAGGAGGAAGAGAGAAGGAGGGGAAAGAAGAGGCAAGAGGGGAAAGAGGAGAAAGGGGAGAAGAAAGAGAGAAAAGAAATATTGTGCGGGAAGGGGAAAGCGAGAGGCAAAGAAGAGGAAGAGAGGAGAGAAAAAAGAAAGAAAGAGGAAGAGAGAAAAAGAAAGAAAGAGGAAGAGAGGAGAAGAAAGAAGAAAGAGAGAGAAAGAAAGAGAAGAGAGAGAAAGAAGATGAGAGAGAAAAGAAGAGAAAATAAAGAAGAAAGAAAGAGAAGAGAGAGGAGAAGAAAGAGGAAGAGAGGAGAAGAAAGAAAGAGGAAAGAGGAAAGAAAGAAGAAAGAAAAGAGAGGAGAGAAAGAAAGAAAAAAAGAAAGAAGAAAGAGAGGAGATAAAGAAGAAAGAGAGAAAAAAAGAAGAAAGAAGAAAGAGAAAAGAAAGAAGAAAGAAAGAGGAAGAGAGAGGAGAAGAAGAGAAAGAGGAGAAGAAAGAAAGAGGAAGAGAGGAGAGAAGAAAGAGGAAGAGAGGAGAAGAAAGAAAAGAAAGAAAAGAAAGAAAGAAAGAGGAGAAGAGAGAAAGAAGAGGAAGAGAGAGGAGAAGAAGAGGAAGAGAGGAGAAAGAAAGAAAGAAAGAGAGAGAAAGAAGAAAGAAGAGGAGAAAGAAAGAGAGAGAAAGAAAGAAAGAGAGAAAGAGAAGAGAGAAAAAGAGAGAGAAAGAAGAGAGAAAAGAGAGAGAGAGAAAGAAAGAGGAAGAGAGGGGAGGCGCTGGCGTACCCTATCCTCCGTCATCGTAACTTTGGCCGAAGGAGTTGCAGCGAGAAATGTCAACAAGGCGCGTGTTATCTATTGAGATATTGGCTCTAAACCTTGTCATTCTCGCGTGTTTCTCTTCCCTCTCTCTTATTAGTCTTGCGTGTCGAGTCTTTTCTCTTTCTTTTTTCTTTTTCTTTGGTTCTAAAAATGTTTCATTTCTCCTCTTTCTTTTTTTCTTGTTCGTGTTTTCTGTTATTATTTTCTGTTTTTCTCTTTCTTTTTCCCTCTTATATTTTGCTTGTATTTTCTTGTCTTTTTTTTTTTCTTTTTCTTTCTCTCTGTTTATTATTCTCTTGCGGTCTTTTCTCTTTCTTTTCTTTCTTTTCTCTTTCTCTCTGGAGGGTAAATACTTGAGTCTTCTTTCGTGTTGTTTTTGCACGATTTTTTATTTATTTATTTACTTTGGTTATTCATCATGTCTTTTTTGGAATTTTCTTTTTTTTTTCTTTTTCTTTTCTTAATTCCTTAATTCAAATAATAAAATTTAGACGTAAAAAACTTTTCGATTTCGTGTCTCAATCCGAAAGAAAGAAAAATAAAATAAAAAAAAAGAATTGAAGAACACACGGACAGAAAGACACATACTTTAATAATTAATTTGAAAATAAAAATAAAAGATAATAATAATAAAGATAATAAAAATAATAAAATATCCACATCAACATTTCTTTTAAATGCTTTTCAATCCCTCTAAAAGTACGAAGGAATGTCTTATTCCCGAATAATTCATGGAGCAGCTGATCTAAAAAGAATATAAAGAGAGCGAAGAATGCTTGGTTTAAATGCAGCTGATTCTGGATATCGTTTTCGTTATCAACATCGGATCTGGCGGCCATCATTTTCATCTCGCTGCCAGAAGGGTTGTTTTCATTATTGTTATGGTGTGTATATATATAGATATAGATATAGATATAGATATGATATATGATGTATTATATACCTTTGCTTTCTGTTCCCTTTTTTCTGTTCTCTCTGTCCTCTCTCTGTCTCATTTTGTTCTCTCTTTCTCTGTCTCTTTCTGTTTTCTCTCTCTCTTCTCTCTTTCTGTTCTCTATCTATCTATGCTCGTTTCCTTTGGATATTCGTGTCTTTTTTCCTTCCTCCTTCCCCTCCCCTCCCTCCTTTCCTCACTTCCCCCTCCTCCTCCTTCTTCCCTTCTCCTTCTTACCTCCCTCTCTCCCTCCCTTCTCCTCCCTCTCCCTCCCTTCTTACCTCCCCTCTCTCCCTCCTCCCTCCCTCCTTCTCCTTTCTCCCCCTCCCTCTCTCCCTCTCCCTCCATCTCCTCCTCTTCCCTCCTTTCTTACCTCCCCTCTCTCCCAACTGCCCTCCCTCTCTCCTCCCTTCTTACTCCCCTCTCCTCCCTCTCCTCCCTCCCTTCTTACCTCCCTCTCTCCCTCCCTTACCCTCCCTCTCTCCCACTTCCTCCTCCCTCTCCCTCCCTTCTTACCTCCCTCTCTCCCCCTCTCCTCCCTCTCCTCCTCCCTCCCTCCCCTCCCTCCCTTCTTACCTCCTCTCTCGTACCTCCCTCTTCCCTCCTTCTTACCTCCCTCTCTCCCTCCCTTCTCTTACCTCCCTCTCTCCCTCCCTTCTTACCTCCCTCTCCTTCCCTACCTCCTCCCTCCTTCTTACCTCCCTCTCCCTCCTTCCCTCCCTCTCCCTCCCTCCCTCCCTCTCTCCTTCCTTCTCCTCCCTCCCTCCCTCCCTCCTTCCTTCCAAGTATCATATTTGGAATACAACACGGCCATTGTTTAACTTAATATTTCGCTCTGAATGCACCACTGAAATTGCTTTGCTTGATCAAGTGGTCGAGAAAATACTTTTTTTTTTTTTTTTTTTCCTTTTGTTTTTGTTAACGGAAATTGAAATGGCAGAGCGTATGTATCGTCAATTTAACGCGTTTTGGGAAATGTGTGTGTGTGTGTGGGGGGGGGGGGGAGGGACGTGTGTGCGCCTTGTTTGCGTGTGTGAGAAAGGCTGTTTGTGTGGATGTGCTTGTTTGCGTGTGTGAGAAGGCTGTTTGTGTGGATGTGGTTTTGTGTGAGGGGGCTGTTTGTGTGTGCTTGTGTGAGTGTGTTGATACTCCTCGCGTGCTCATACCTCCCCCCCCCCGCCCCCCATAAACAGCACGCACGCACACACACACACACAGCACACACACGAGTCACACGAGCATAACGAGAATGTCGAGTTAAACAAGCTACAAGCGCCGCGACCTTTCCCAGGCGAGGTCGTGCTTGTCTTAAGTTACGCGCGGCAGGATTGCAGGCGTCAGTCCTACGCCCGACGCCATTGCTCCCGTGATTGAGGCTTTTTTTTCAGAAACCGTCAAATGGGGGGGGGGATTTGAAGGCAGGGAGACAGCGATAGCTAGGGGTGGGGGGGGGGGGGGGGGATGAGAGCCCTCCTTTGCTGCGATGTGTGGGAGCGGCGATGGCGGAGGAAGCGGGAGGTGGGGTGGGGGAGGAGGGGGCGAAAGCAGATTGAATATCTGGGAAATTCAAGCGGTTCGGTTCCCGCTGGTTGGGGGGCGGGAGGGAGAGGAGCGAGAGGAGAGGGAGGAAGGGCGGCGGGTGTGGGACGTAGGGACGAGAGGGTAGTAGAGTAGGGGGATGGAAGGTGAAGAAGGAAGGAAACCATATATTCCTTTATTTGTATATATATTTATATTCGTATTTCATTTATTCTTTTACTCTTCTCCTTTTTAGGGGATTTTTTTGCGATGTGCAATAGCGACTGCGGCTGCCCGGGCGCCCTTCCGCGCCAGCCGATCCAAAGCCGACTCCTGCGAAACCTCGGCCCTGGCTGGCTCTCCGCTGCCTCCGCTGAATTCTCTCCCGCGAGAGACACGCCGTCGTCGCCATCGCCGTCGACGCACTCAGCCCGAGCCCGCGGCCCGTCTGAGGCGGAGCCGGATTCCCGAGATGCCGGCGTCGTTCGCGAGGCAAATCCGAGCTCATTGCCGCCGACAGACGCCGGAATGCGCTCGGGATGGCTCGCGCGGCGAGGAGGAAGGAGGACGCCTCGAGCGCGGCGAGGCGGCCCCGTGCACACACGCCCGTCAGGCATGAGAGGCGCGCGGGCGGGGGCGTGAGCTGCGAGTCAAAACGAGCGGCGCCTCCGACCGCGTTTCGGCGGAGGCGGATTCCGCGCCCAAGCGCTTCGTCACACTCGCTTACGCGCGACACGGAGCAGCCACGAAAGCTATGTAGACATCTTCAACATCTCAAAAAAAGAAGAGAGAGAGAGAAAAAAAGACTAAATGACAAGAAAAAAAAGAGAGAGAGAAAAAAAACGAAAAAAAAGCAACGTCGTCAGCCCACTCGGCCCGAGAGGCATCGCTCCACAAGACCCGATTTGTCTAAATGCACATGAAGAGGAGGTGGTAATGACACGTTGGGCTCGCTAATGTGCACACGAGACTGGACCCACACCTCCCTCCGCCCGCCTTGCTATTATTCTGTTTAAGACCCGAGGAAACAGCGGTTGCGGTGGCCNATATGATTGATGATAATAGTAAGATCAAGCGTTGAAGAAACTATAGAAACATGAGATCTTGAAGCAAATGGACCCCGAAGTTGTTAGTTTTGCAAAAAAAAGTATGTTAATGTATATATATAATATATATATATATATAGTAATAATATATACGGATGTATATAATATAATATAGATATAATGAGACCGTAGGTAAATGTATTACTTATATATGTATATATAATATATGTATATTATATATATAATACACTATATATAGTATATATATTATTATGTATATATATATAATAATATATATATATATATATATAATATATAGGGATATATACTATATATATGTATATATATATATGTATATATAGTATATATAATATATAATGTATACTAATATATAATATATATATATATATATATATTATAATATAATAGTAATAATGATGATGGATGATGATGATGATGATGATAAGGTAAGGGTATGATAATAATATTATAATAATAATCGATAATAATGATAATGATAATAAAAATAATAAATAATAATGATAATAAAAGTAATGAAATAATAAATATAGATAAATAAAATGATAATAGAAAATAAAAAGGTAATAAATATGAAGCAATGGAACAGACGAGCGTTTATTCCTCCAAACATCGAATAATACCAGCACGCATAGAAAACATTTGTTTAAACGAACATGTTAACTCGGATGTCAGACAATTTCAATAATAATGCAACATTAGTGTTACCGTTTCTGCCGCTGTTTTGTTTCC